GTAATCTCTCACATGGCAATAAGTTTTTACCCTTCCCAGGAGAAACAATTTCTCACTTCAGTATTTTCCAGTTAATTTCAGTTACTGCTTTGGTTTGGGTGTTTTTTTTCCCACTTTCAGTCATTCATGCATAACTTTCCTTCTGATTTCAGTAATTCCCTCACCAACATTAACTTTGTTAGTTTCAATAGAATAAGTACAGATGAAATTTGCTTAAAATATATTAATTTTAAATTTTGTTAATAGTGAAATGAAATGTGGAACAGATATTAGAATTAATGAATATTCATGACTGAATATAATTTAATTCCTTGATAAAACAGAAGGACTATTTTTGTAGAAATTATCCTAAAAATATTTTTGTGTTATATGGCCTGGGTGACAAGACTATATTTGAAGAAGTAAAATATTAATTTAAATAATAAACAGACTGGGAAAAACTGACTTGTCCTCTCACAGCCTCACAGGCTAAGGACAGCTGTAATATTCCTCGAAGTCCGCAGTCCCCTGAAAATTTGACATAGGTGTTTGTGGCCAGCTGACCTGTGGCGTTCCAACTGCCAAGCTCATGCTCTACAGAGAGCTTCTCATAGAAAACCTGCTCTGTTACTGGCCAAGAGTGTGGACTGCAGAACAACTAGGAAAACGAATGCAACCTTTCTGTGAATCTTCTTAAGGGGAAAGGATCTGTTCTTTGCAATAGATTTTTGTTCTGGTAAAGGTATGTTTTCTATATCATGGCCTATGTGTCTCCTTCATTTCATTCCCTCCTCAACTTCTTATCTCCCTTCTCCCAAATCTCCACTTCATTGTTGCAGGCTGATAAGCCTCAGGTACAGTCCCCTACTGGATATATGTACCTATCATCTGTATGAGGAGTGGGAGGGCTAGCACATCAGCAGTCTGCATTGCTGTGGTTCCTCTCCTTCATTCTCTTTGGCCCTGTGAGTTTTACATTCCTTTCTTAAAACTAAGCCTGAGGAGGAAGCCTGTGGAATGGTCTTACCATTGTCTGTCTTCTCACCTGGAAGCTAGAGCACTCTCCTGGGAAAGGCAAGCAGTGGCTTAATTTTCTGCTGGGCAAGACACCCCAGACCTCAGGTTTCCTCTTTTTCTGGGCAAGGACTCTTCTCTGCTAGCCAAATTAGCCAAAGGAGAGCTCATCCATTGCTGATCCTTAATCCTCAGGAGAGGACCTGATGTTCTGAATTCAGAGTGGATAGAGGTGCCTGCTGAGCAGTTCTGAACCAGAGGTTTGCTTAGACCTTTGTAGCATTAGCATTAGTGTTTACAGATGGGGATTCCTATCAACTAGGTACCCTACAGAGGTGAAAACCTGAATCAGTTCTCCCTAAAGACACTGGCCTCTCTCAGTCAATTATTAAGGGCCTAATTATGTAGTCTGGGCAATTTGCTGGAAGTTATTTCTTGGACAGTGTAAATACAGTTCAAAAGCAGTTACCAGAAAAAATTCTATCAGTAGGATTCATTCTTTGACAACACGATTCATGATTTTGCTTTTCTAAAACAATAAAAAACTATGCAGTCTAGTAACCCAGTCGAGATGGAACTGTAAAAAGCAGATCAGTAACTACAAGGGAGAGCACCCATACAATGGACATAAACTAGCTTGCCAGTAACCTTTGCCAATTAGAATAAAATGCACTGTTAAATTAATGACAATTGTTCATGAGCTGTCAGTTAAGTTTTCTCAGGAGTTTCTAGTAGAACATACCATGAACTAAAAACAGAGCATTTTCATCTTTTGCCTAATGAGGAATAATGAGAGACAGTGTAAGCATCTAATTTCTAGCCAACAACCACACTACTGGCACTAACAAGAAAAGATGTTGAAAATATCCCAAGAGAGAAGAGAGCATCTTTCCACTTATACTGCTACTGCTTTATGTCAATAACACCAGCGACTTGCGTGGAATTACTCTCCATTTACTCCTTGTTCCAGTTTAGGAAGGAGATTCAGACCTAAAGAGAGGATTTACTTACTAGTAAATACTGTTTTAAAAAATGAGAGGATGTACCCCCCAGCTTTATTGTGAGTTGATGCCATACACTCTTTGTCTCATTTAAAATTCAGAAGGTTGTGAATAACTGGAAACCTGTCAGTTGCCATAGGCAAAGATTCAGCCTTCTGCTGAGTTCCAGTCAGTAAGTAGTCAAATTCACTTCCCTGAACCCCACAGTCCTTCCTCACATGCATTTCTGGACATGAATAAGACCCTCTGCCTTCAGCACAAGATGAGAGTGCTATGGGAAATTAGCATGAAGGAATCTAGTTCTTCTGTCTGTGCTGGTTCTGTACACCTTTTCTGCAAGCTGAATCTCAGAATAAAACTTATTCCCTAGTCATAAAACTCAACAACAGTTAGTTCTGAGTTTGAAAAATAGGTTTGTTTTCAAATGAGTCATAAAAAAGACTTTTCCTTTGTTAGAAAAAAAGCAATTTGTACTCATAGTTATATAGGAGAACTAGACATGTTTCTAGAGAAGTAATCCCAGAGTCCGTATGTTCACACTAGCCTGTTACATACCAACTTATTTTTAAGCATTATAAGTATTTATAAGCATGTCTTGCAGGCAGGTGCAGTTAAGGTAAGTAGAAGCAGAGTGGTTCATGAAAAGAAGAGTGAAATATCCATACATTTCAAGGGTTTACCTGAAGGTTGTAAATGCATGTAGGAGAAATACATTAAGCACTATTAGGTCTGTATACCTATGGATATAGAAGAGATGTTACCCTTTTGTGCATCTAAAACAAGCAGAGGCTTGTGGTTATTAAATGGTTTTCAGCTACTTTCTGATGATAAAGATGCATATTCTGCAGGTAGAAGATGAATTCATAGAGACATCACATAATCAGAATCTGCTTTGTATTCCTACCTCAAATATGCTTGAATTACTTTTTTTTTTTTTCCACTTCCAAAAACCTTTTAGACAATACTTCATTTGAAACTAGGCTTCTTGAACTCAGCATTTTAAACCATTGTTTTCATTGACATTTGATTTCTGTGAGTCAAATGTATTTCAAATTACAAAAGCCAGAGTATCAAAAAAAATAGCTTTAGTACGTGGGATTCTCATACTGTCTTTTGTATTGTTGCTGTTCCTAGTCAAAAAATTAAGAACAACAGTACTCAGCTCCTATAGAGAACTTTCCATTTGAAAAAGCAATAGGAAATAATTAAAAGCTAATTAATTAATTTTCCACAGTAATTACTGCGTTATACCTCATTATTAACTTCATTTTACAATGAGGAAAAAAAAAATGGGCCCAGGGGATGCTTTCCCATTTTCTTAAAAAGGAACTGGCTTCTGAAGCCAGTGCAGTTTGTGGGAACTAAGCAGATGAGAACCTGCACACCTGATGGTGTCATGGTGGCATTCACATCCTTCCCTTGCTGTGGGGCTGCACTTACTCAGCCATAGTTTATTAACAGATTGACTGTGGAAAGCTGCACTTTCATGTTTGTGTGAAACAGGAGACCTTCCCTTTGTCTCCTTTCTGTTTTTCTTTTAGGACTAATAATTTAATGAGCAATCTATTTATTCTAATGACTCTTTGTAAGGTTTGATGATATATGTGAAATTATGTGATACACAAAAGCTTGTGTATCTCCTATATTCGAGAAGGTCTGGTATGACTTCACATACCTGAGTATGTGGTAGATGCTAGTCCTGAAGATGCTTGGGAGTGAGCGTTAAAAGTGAGGAGGCAGCCAGCTACAGCTTGGAGCGTCTAAAGATTTCTTACCATCATTCCTCACTATCGTTAGGATCCACAGAAATGGAAAGACTAAATAAAACTACTCGCTTGTATAAACTCCTTTTGTCCTTCACTTTATTAGATCCCTGATTTGCAGTTATAATTTCTGAGTCCCTGTGTAATGTATGTTAGGAAGCTCCAGTCAGCTGAATATCCACGCTGGAACTTGAGATGTCTCTCTGCTCAGTCCCCTGCAATGTGCATCAGCCATTCCATTCATGAGATAGTGCTCCATAACCTAAAAGGCTTTGAAATCTGTAGCATTTTCTTTCAGAATCTATCTGTGTCATACTTTGGATTTCTTTACTACTGTGTGCTCTTTAAATTCCTGAATTCTTCATTATGCTTCTACTGCTAATGAAGCAACCTTAATTTAACAGAGCTACTTTTAATAATGTCCATATTGCATGAAAGTCGAACACAGAAACTTACTTTCATAGCCTTTCATGTGAATAATTATATGCCTTACAGCTCTTATATGGTAGTAAAATTAACTAATTAATTCATCCCATGAAAGGACAGAATAACTCCATCAATATGTATTTAAAATAGTCTGAAAAGGGGAGGAAAATTACTCTCTTTTTGTCGACATTGAGGTACATGTGTTAGAGGTAGGAGAGAGCTTCTCTCCCACTGGCAGCTACTTTAAAAAAATAGATTACAAGATTAATTGTTTCAATCTAATAGATACTCATTAAAAATTACCAGAATTTGTATTTTGGGGGTTTGGTTTGTAGTTTGTGTCCTCATGTCTCCAATCATCTACAATGTAGCTTCATAGTGGCTGCTGGATTTCAAATACCACCTTACTTAAAAGTTTTTTAGATAGAAACCATACAACAATTTTCCTGCAGAATATGAGACAATTATATTTTGCTGGTTTTAAAGATTTTAATTTTAGCTAGGGAACTTTATAGTAATGTAAATTATGAACATAGTCTAGAGAAGGTTTCTGGAGTGACATAAAAATTTTTCATTAAACTTTTTCCTTAACATTTCAGGTGAAACAAATTGACTAAACTTCACATAAGATAAATAAGCCCCTCCTTAAGCCTACAAATTTCCTTAAAAAAAACCCAACAGAAAATTAATTACTTCATAAAGTTCCAACTTTTGCAATTGTAGCATATCTGAGCCTCACCTAATAACGGAATTGCTGAGTCCTCTAGTGCTGGGTAGTCAATTTAATCACAGACTTCTTGAATTTCTCTTTCCACAGATCTGTACCCCAGATTTGGTGGTGTTTCTGGCATGTTCCAGTCAAAGGCTGAAAGAAAGGTTACTGAAGCGTGCTGAACAGCAAGGGAGACCTGATGATAACCTGAAAGCCACTCAAAGACGACTAATGAATTTCAAGCAGAATGCTGTCCCACTGGTTAAATATTTCCAGGAAAAAGGGCTAATAATCACAGTAAGTCCTTTAGTATCTACCTCTGAAACGTTAATTGTTGTGGTTATACTTGGCGTCTTAGACCTTTTGCTTTAAGATAGGCTAGATGAATCGAATTATGGTTTAGGTATACACCATGGTTACTGAAAGCAAACTTTCGGTTTGCTGAGAGAGTATTTTCTGCAAAATGCAGTAACACAGAGCAAAATTCATGTGCGTGTAGATGACATGGTAAGCACCATGTCAGTTCTTTGCTGCAAGTATAATTTGCTTCACCAACTAGTTGCATACTCTTTGTTCAGAAATTATTTGCATGAAAGAAGAGCTTGCTTTGAAACACTGGTTGCTATTCTAGTGCCAGCAGTTTCATCCCTTGCAAATAGTTGTCTACTTTTTGGATGGTTGTCTTGAGAGGGGAGGAAAGCAGAAAAAAATTACATTCTAACAGAAAGCATATCTTCACAGTTGGATTAAATCAATACAGGTTCTTCAAGGAATAAATACATTTGGCTGATGACTGACTCCAGTAAATAAAAAGTCCTTAGATTATCTTATCATGGTTTAATATACCTTATTATTTGGTCTCCTACAAGCTTTAATGTTTCAGATAAAAATGTTGATGACAAGAAAATTACATTGTAAATACACCACTTGGATATCAGTAAGTATAGTGATTTCTGCAATATTTGGGAAAAGAGAGACTGTCTCTAAGCACATAACATACCAAAAGGTGCATTCATAAATAAAGCCAGAAGTACTTTATGGAAGTAGGGCTAGCAAGTACTGAGGTATTTAAGTGCTTAACTATGATGAATTCAAGGAACAGTTGACAATGGTTGAATTGACATGTTCTAAATTACAGACTGTGTCTGGCTGTAATAGCACACAGAACTTGGTGCCACATATGGTACCATGAGAGTACAGATGGCCTATTTTGTTTCTTTTGATAGCCTAAATAACCTAGGTAGCTCACGTTGGCACGTTCTCCTCACGGCAAGTGTGACTCATTCTATATGCTGGTCAGATTCATGATGGGCCAAAGCACCCGTAATTGCAAAGTCATCTAAGGATGTTGGTAGCCTTAATAATGCACTTCAACATCTTTCTGAATTTCAAAATGAAAATCCCAGGAAATTATTACATTGTTTTCTCCAGAGAGTATCTGTTCTGTTTGAGGATTTTGATTAACTCTGGAAGGATGAGAGGACTGGAATTCTTGGAAGTTGTTCTTCAGTATTGAGGAAGTGTGTATTTTGTGACATTTCTACAGCCTTTACAAGTGCTCCTCCTATAGAAAGCATACTTAGCTCTTCAGGGAGAATGTGCCTTTGTAGATAAAGCATGTGGGCATCTGGATAGAATTCCTTTTCTGTGATGAGACCTGTAAAACAGAAGATGTTTTTCCTATGGAGGTTTCATCTTCTACTTTTTCTTGTGAGTTCTAAAGATAATTTAAATTGCAATGTTCACCTTAGATACCTCTTTTCTTTTTGAAGAAAACGGATGTTTGTGATGGGTATTGAAATGGTAACATGGCATGTGAACATTATATTACTGTCCACTACAGGACAAGGAAACAGCATATGCAGAAAATACTGACTTGGCAATGTGTCAGAAAAGTCTTTAATATTAAACAAACCTGCAAGTTTTTAATTTATTCCTTATCTATATGGTATCTACTCAAAGTGTGTTGATATTTCACAGAGATCTAGAAATTACTCTAGATTTACATTGGTGTAGAGTGAAGAGAATTAGGCTTTGGGAGGGAGACTCTGTTTTCACCTGTCATTAGAACTGCTACAGTGCAGTTGCATTTCCCTTGTTGCAAAACCTGGATGCATTAGTAAAGCTAAGCCCTGAGAGTTAGATGCATGAGTAATTTCATGGCCAGTGGATAAAAGGATCCCTTTCTGTAGATGATAAGGAATATATACGGCAGACCTCATTTCCATAGGATTTAATTGCATATGGAAGATAACATTTTGCAGTTGCCTAAGGCAACTAAAGTGGTGGGGGATAAATGAGAAAAAGGAGTAGCTGGGAAAGGAGTAATAAGAAGAGATTAAGCATGCACACTCCAGAGCAAGTAAACAACTGAAAATTTCTACAAAAGGGCATTTTCTAAAACCACATAACCTTGAAACAGAAGAAACATATGTCAAGTCCACATAGAAAACTACGTACTACCAGAGCAAGTTGTAAATTTTAAACTAGTGTTTTCAAAAAATGGTTATTTTGTCACCATTTGTTCCTTTTCTTAGGAATTTATAGATCAGCATTATCTATAGAGTTTTGACATTCTTCTGACAACGTTATTTCTTTTCAAATGTTCGCTTTGTTGGAAACTCATTTGTCCAATGGGAAATCTAAGCAAATCTCTGCCAACTCCCTGTCCTGTTCCTTTAAGCAAACATCAATGGCAATAACAGATATTTTCTTACTCCAGAAGTCTTTGATCCCATTGTCTTCTTCGCTAATGAACTTGAGCTTTCTTTTGGTTTTGAAAAAAAAAAAATCTCATAATTTTTCATAGCCTTCCATCAGTGGAAAAGACAGTTTTCTTAGAAAGCCATAGGATCCAAGCAGCATTGCAGTCTTCATCACCACCTTCTCCTGGTGGAAGCCTTGTATCTTCAACTTGCCTTTACTAGTTATGTATCTGTATGATACACATGTAATATTAACACTTCTATATACATTTGATGCACTTGTGCATGCTATTTCCCCACGGAAGGAGGCAGCAAGAAAGAAAATCACATTCATCCTGCTGATTATAATGTTGAACCTGGTTGGCACTGAAATATTACGTGAATGAGAGCAGTGTAAGAACTAGAACAGCATAAAATGGAATTACACTGGCCTAATTCCTAGAGGAGCGAATCCTTGAGGCAAGGTCAGGCTAGGTCAGTGTTGATCAGGAAGAAAAAGAAGATTTACATTTTTCTTAAATCCCTACCTGCACCTTGTCACTGCTATTCAAAGCTCTAAATCTCAGACATTTCTTCTATCAAGCGTCACGATTCTACTCAGGGGAAAGAAACAGAACCATTTGTCTTATAGAGAGTTATAATTTTAGAACCACAACTCAAATTTTAATATCTACTTAAATGTGTTGTTCTTCATCAATAAACAGACCAAAAGAGAAAAGAAAAATTCACTGAAATCTAAATAAATATGATTAATGAGCAGACATTTGATATAATTATAGTCTACCGTTAGACACTGTATGAGCAAGAGAATAAAAGTCTAAATTCCCAAAGAATATTAATTTTCCTGCTCCAACAGTTACTCCATACTGGTTTTAACATATTTCAGTTAAATTAATAGAATTAAAAACCATGTTCTTAATTTTAGATCTTAATGGTTAGGTTGCTTAGGTGTAATTCTTTCCCTTCATCTTTTTTCTTTTTTCATTTGATCTCTGATAATTTTATACAGTACATAGCTTGTACTTGTTTGTTGCTCTGTATGCCTTATGTTTTTAGTCTGTGCATGGCATCCCTGCTCTGAGAGTCTGATCCTGATTTCTGTTTTCAAGGAAAGAACTGAGGGCCCCACCTACAGTACTTCTAAGAAATGGGGAGATATAACTGTCCTTTTCGAAAAACTCCTTCTTCAGGATACTGAAGTTGGAAAATCCAAGATTTTGAATTGTTATTCAAATTGAACACATCTGTAAACTTCATTATAATTAAGAAAGAGAAGTAAATATCTGATATTTACATGTGCAACACAGTCTGTGTTTAAAATTCTTTTTAGCAATCCATCAGTAAGTCTAACAAATCAAAACCTGACTTTACTGAAGTCAAATTTGATTTCAGAAGGTATCAAGACAACAGTAATAGATATCACAATATTGGACATGGAGTATATAAATAGATGCATATGCTGGCATTTATTGTATCAGTAACTTTTTAAAATCTTAGAACATTATATATTGTTTATCTAGACAATAACTAAGCCACAAATTACCGGGGGCAGGGCAGGGAGAAGGATGTTAGTTAGATTAAACTACAAAAGGGAAAATATAAATGCCTAGCAGATCTGCAAGTACACTAATGTTTAGCAGACGACTTCAGTTCTGAATATAGTTTAATCCATTCCCATATCCTTCCTCCCATCTGGCAATTATTTAGATGATGCCTAGCGGATCTGCAAGTACACTAATGTTTAATGTTTAGCAGATGACTTCAGTTCTGAATATAGTTTAATCCATTCCCATATCCTTCCTCCCATCTAGCAATTATTTAGATGAATATATTAGCATATTATTATATTTGGTCTCAGGTGCTGAGATGACAGTTGGTATGTGTACACAGCCATGCCCAAAAAGCCAAGGCTACTATTGAGGTGTGGTCATGGGTAGAGAACTTCAAAATAAAAGGGTCTGTGTATGCAAACTTCTACACAGTGCTTGCTGTTCAATTAAAAATACTTTAGTGGTTCATATCATTCATCTATGAGAATCATTTGTAGATACTTTGTTATTTTGGCTACAATACTCCTAGAGATACAGTATGATATCACTTCACTTTCTAACACTGATTTATAAGGGTTTTCCTCTTTTTAAATTAGATAATAATGAAAAAGTAAATCAAAGAAAGGGAAAAAAAACCCCACCCTAATTCCTATGTAACTAATGTTAAAGAAATCTCTTTACCTTAGGTCTCCCGCAGCAGAGTCTCAGACTTCTGATCTTAGAAAAATAATTAATTTATTTGGATGGTACAGCAGAATGACAGCTCGAGCTGGGTGCTTCTGGAGAGGGACCCCGAAACAAAGAAAACCTGGTGTTTTTAACCCTTACAATCTATGCACACCCTCTCCATGCGCCTTTCATGCGCCTTTTGGTCCAATGGTCAGTCTCTTCACGCGCTGTCCATGCGCCTCTTGGTCCAATGGTCAGTCTCTTCATGCACTGTCCACGCACCCCTTGGTCCAATGATAATTCATGGTCTGGGCGCTCAACTGTTTATCTTTGGTTCTCCACCTCTGAACTCCTGACAGGCCATTTGTTGTCC